GGGATTATTCTGGCAGTTTCAAATGCAATGAGTTTGGAAGTTGAATTTTTCCTTCGTTTCATTAGACATCTTGTATTTGATGTTACAAACAAATCCCTCGTACTTACAGGATACTACTTGGTGCCATAATTTTTCTCGAGAATACTTCTAGTTATTTATCCAAGTAATCATTTGTCACGCAAAACTAATGCTAACTAGTTTTCTAGATTTAGTTTACAAAAGTAAAACTGCATCTATAGGGCTAAGACAAGGACATCCTATATCTTCTTGCCTTTTTGTCTCAGCAAGTGATGTTTTAAGTAGATTGTTGGAGCATTAAGAATAGAAAGGTTTGATCCAAGGTTTTGAGGTTGGCGCTAATAAGATTACGGTTACACATCCATTTTGTGGACAATACTTTGATTTTATGCAAGCATGAAAATAGTGCTCGAAGAATTGCTTCAGTGTTGAAAATTTTTGAGTTGCACTGAAAATGAATATAGAGGACTCAAATTTTTGGAATCAATATTTCATGTGAGGAAGTTTAGATTTATCCTTAAAATGTAGGTTATAAAGCAGTATTTTCAGCTGGGGTTTATTTAGGAATATCTTTAAGAGGATAGACCTAGAAAGGAAGAATTTTTTTGGGACAAGGTTGCCTGAAATTTTCAAAAGGAGAGGGAAAACGAAGCCCCAATACAAAGGAGTTACGAAGGTAGATTCTTGGAAGCTAATTATTGAGATTCTGGGAAGGTGAATTGTAAATTTGCAAGTTCGAAAAGCAGAGGAAACTATCCGAAGGAGGAAGGTATATTTTATCTAATGCGGTTCTTGAGAACCTTCCTATGTATTTTATGTCTGTTTTTTTTTTAATATTTTTTTTTGTACTGAAGAAAGTGAGATAAAGAGGAAAGGAAAATTAAATTTTCTTTGGAAAGGGAAGATTGGAGGAAACTTGAGTCATTTAGTAAATAGGGGAGTGGTTTTGTTACATGCAAAGAAAGTTGGATAGGATTAGGAAATTTGAAGTGGAGATATGAAGTTCCAATGGCTAATTGGTTATAAAGATTTTTGTGGCATAAGGCTGTAGATTTTAGAAAGGAGAATGGTTGTCTTGTGTCGATAAAGAGGGAGGAGGAAGAAGCTTATGGAGTAATATCTTAAAGTGAAGTGATAATTTTAGAACTCTAAGATTAAGGTTGGTAATGGTTGTAGGACAAAATTATGGGAATAACTATGGATTGGGTGGCGTTTACATAGCTGAACTGAACGTTTTCCAGATTTCCCAGTTTATAACTTATATAGGGTGGTGGATTAAAATATTCAATTGATAAAGGAGTTGTGGTACTCAAATGTATATGTAGGGAGTTGGAACATTACTATTACTAGAAGAAATTTAAAAGAAGCAGCAGAAAGAATTTTCTGCGGCTAAAGGATGTCTGAAGTCCCAGGAGCTAAATGAGGAGAAAGAATGTAGAATTTGGCCGTTGGATTCTCCAGGTCAGTTTTTGGTTAAATCGCTGGTCAGAATTTTGATAGTTCAAATGAAGTTTCAGAGAAGAAAATATGCAAAGCTGTTTGGAAAGGAAGGTGTCCAAAAAAGGTGAAAAGTGTTCTGATGGTAAGCTTGTTTAGAAAGTTTGAATACAGTGGAAAAAGTACAAAAAAGATTCCAATTTAGGCAACCTTTCTGATATTCTTCTTTGTTATGCTGCTTCTATTTTTTCTATCCCCTAGTTTTCCTCTCCCTCGCCCCCATTTCAGAACTGAAAATTGGGACCAACGATTTAGAAGGAAAAAAAAAATCAAATTTTTGCCGTATAATCAGAGAGATAAAATCCCATCCCATTATCCCCATCACAGAGCACAGAGAGCTCATATATACCTTCTTCAATAGCTCGATTCAAACTTTGAGAATTTTACCTGCCGGCTTGTCTCATTTTTCTGTTCGTTTCATCTTTACTTTCGCACTCTCCTTTTTTTGTAACTATCAGAAGGAAAAAAACAGGTACTAGCATATGGGATTTGAAATTAGAAGCAAAAAGAAAACTGATGCTTTAATGGATTAGTGCAAATATCCTAGCATAAAATTTGCAACAAACTTTGGAAGTGGAGTTCTCAAGCTTTGAAGAATAGGTATGGATGTTCGAAATATTTGCTGCAAAACTGAAGAAATTTAGTAGTTACAGAAACAAAGACTGCGGAGAGAATGACTGAAGAAGAGGGTGAGCGGGGAGAGGGGAAATGGAGGGGTGGAGATAGAAGATTAGAAGGACAAGGAGGAGAAGAAGCAATACAAGCAATTAAAAATTACTAAATTAATTTTTTGGTCATGTCAACATAATCAATATTATAAAGCTAATGAAGAAATGTCCATTTCTAATATTGTTATTAATGAAAATCTAATGTTAGGGATCATTTAGATTTGTTTTTGAAAACTTGGTTAAAAATTTTAAGATTCAAACCATTAGTCTCTAGAGCCCTTCTCTGGGATATTCGGAAGGAATGGAACCAAAGAGCCTTTTAAGGAAGTTCAGTTTCTTTTGCTCTGTTTTGTAATGGTGTACAGCTTACGTCTTCCTTTCAGTGGTTTAAGACACAATACATTCTTTTGTAATTACAGCTTTATGTTTGATCCTTCAAATACTGGAACACGGAACGCTTTGATCCGTTAGTTCTGCAGGAGGAGACTTTCTTTTCCTCTGCCTTTAGGCTGTTTATTTTGTTCTCATGTTAATGTATTACCGTTTGTTATAGAAGAAAAGAAAAAAACATTATACAGCAATTAGGTACTAACTCAGGGACCATAAATGTAATTTGTCATGGTTTAACACTCTGGTTTTCCCTCGCTTTTGTACCGTTGGACTTCATATAAAGTTTCATATTTCTTTTTCTTAAATTTTCAGGCCGAAGAGCTTGCAGCTGGACGAGACGGTGAGCTGTAAGAAGAAGTATAATATTTGTTTTTATGCAACTAAAAATTTGACTGTCTTCTTTTCTTGGCCTTGTGCTGCAGATGGGAGATCCGACTTAGGTCCTGGCCGATCTAAAGGTGGAGGCATCTATTCAAATGGACAGTAAGTAATCTGCCAGTTTTTTACTCATTTGAAAAAAAGTCCTGCTATAAATTTCTGCAACATAAAAGACCATTCAACACCATTCAATATATCCGACCAACCAAGATGTCGAAAGTTTGAATCCTCACCTACACATGTTTTTAGAACTAAAAAAAGGCAAAGGCAAGAACATATCTGTAATCTGAACTTGTTTACTTCATAATGGTGATGAGTGCTTTTATAGCCTTTCAGCTTCTGATTGTTTATATGAAAGTTTATTGATTGCCATATGCAGAGGGAAACCGAAAAAGGGAAGACCAACCCCGAGGGATGCAAAGAGAATGCGGCATTCAAGCGAGCAAGATTTCGACTATGATGATGATCCCGACTTGACATTGTGAATGCTATAAATGCAACCTCTCGACTTGGCATTTTCGTCGCCAAAAGATGAGCTCTCTCAATCCTCTTATTGTTCACGAAGTAATCACCATCCCCGATAGCTATTTATATCTATGCTTGGTTATGTTTGTTCTTGGATAAGTTTATGTTATAAATGGAGGGGAGGATTCAAATTTATGATTCATTAGAAAAAGGTACTAATGTTTTGACCATTTGAGCGATGTTCAGGTAAAGCATATTTGTCTTTGCTTGCATACTGTTTAGCTAACGAAATTAATTGTAATTATATTTATAAATAGAATGTAACATTAGCCCGTTTATCAATTCTCTAGGTGAATTCATCGACTGTAATTTTAATATTTCAATTTTTTTATCGGGTTTTAATTTAAAAAGAAATAGAGCACTAAATAAAATAAAATTAAAAATGATGTAAACAAAAACCTAAAAATATGGAACTTGACAAAAGTAAGGTAGTTCTTGTCTGAGTTAAAAATTTTGAATGTCCTGCATGTGTAAATTGCTATATAGTTCACGTAAATTGCGTACAACATACACGATATCATATTTTACCTTGCAATAGATGTTAGACAACTATTTGGGAGAGTAAAAATTTTGCTAATCTTTTAAAAAATTGGATGAACCGAAAACTTTTATTTCTCAGTAGTTTAATACTTCTAAATTTCTATCGATTCACCTAGTATCATGTCATGTAAGTTTATTATCAAGTAATTTTAATATTTTACGAAAATTCTTAAAATGCAAAGGTCTAAATTGATTTTTTTTAATACTAAAACTTTAGGGACGGAATCATATATTTAGCTTAAAATACGTATACTCAGTTAATTTTTCCTCTATTTTACCTCTATTCAAGCAATTACTTTACTTTTCCATCATAAATTCATTTACAACATAGGGATGCCCTCAATTTAGCAAGTTTACATGATTTCGAAAGTTGGAGTACATCAAAATTCATCTTATGATCTTTTAGTCTCGAGTCATTTCCAATAACCCATTCTCCTAGTTTCATATAGCAATTAAGGGCTTGTTTGCTAATGTTATCAATTATCGGTTCTTTGGAGGAGGATTAATTCTTCTTTTAAAATTTTACTAACTTGTAAATATCATGCCATATGAGTTTATCATTAATCAAATTTAACGTTTATAAGTAGGCAAGGCTATAAGTGAAAATTATTAAAATGTAAAAGAACTTTTAAATAGGGACGAAATTGAAAAAAAAAAAAACAAAAAAAGCTCTATATATTTAGCCAAAAAATTCAATGCCAAATATTTGAACTCTTTACCATAATTTCACTTTAGTGTTTTGACAGTTTTATCTAGATGGTTCTTAATTTTAGGATTGAAATATTCGAACTTTTCAAATGTTTTTGACTTATTCACCCTTTGGGTTAAATATTTATACTTGGATTAATTATCTAAATAATAGATGATTTAGCAACTCCATTATATATTTTACCTTTAAATTTTATTGATCAAAAGAGATTTAGGTCCGTTTACCTACTCACAATGGTAATGGAAATGAATCGCAACGAAAATCAATGAGAATTAAATCAATCATAATATTATTCCCTTGATGTTGTTTATAGAAATTTTCTGCAATCGTAATCAGAATTCCTTTGATGTTGTTTACTAAAGTTATAAATGGAGAAGAAATTATAAAAGTATAAAAAAAAAACTAATTAAAGATTGTATGGGTCTAATTAATAGATAAGAGAAATAGTAAAAGTTGTAAATTAATTATAATATACATGTGCGGCCCATGGAATAAGAGATGTAAATGTGATTGATGAGATTGTAGGGGTGTAATTAGATAACACCCGAGATTACAAAGTTTGAGGTGGGTCTCACCATTTGATTTCATTCCTACAATTTGGTAAACACCCTTGAATGTAATAGAAATTTTCATTATGATTCCTTGATTACAATTGTGGATAAGTAAACGGGACCCTAATTGTATTAGCTCAAGCAGTTCCGTCTAATATTACTTCGTCAAGTTAAAGATCTTTAAAGAAAAATTGAACGTCGAATTACTCAAACTATGCTCAAGTTAACACTTAAGGTAGTATTTTTAACTTGTTTAGGATATGATATTATTTTACATTTACATATTCTTCTGATTCTGACAAATAAGTATCATTTTTCTAATCTTCTAAAAACCACCTCTCATAAATAATGATAGTTTACAAAAACCATAAATTTTGCGTTTGAAATCAAATTGTCACTTTACCAAATAATGTTTGTATTCACCTTAAAAAAAAATCAATAAAATGTGAAAAACACTTTAAAAGAATATGGCATAAACGAATGTGAAGCATCCTCATGCAATCATTATCCGGATATTTTCTTTAGTTTAAAATAAGTTTAAACTAATAAACACTTCCATGAAATCATAGTTTGAAACATATTGATTGTATAATGCATTGGTTGAAATTTATTAAAAGAACTAATGTTTTTGAAATTATTTCACCACTTCGTCGGTCGTGTCTGACCATGCCATTTTCAGTATTTGGAGACCATATAATTGATTTTTTTAATCAACTTTTTACTTATTATTATCATTAAATAAATAATAATATATAAAATACAATTATATATAATGGGTTCGAGATGGGATTGATGCCTTTTTTTTACTATTAATCAATTTTTTTATTATTATTATTAAATAATAATAATAATAATAATAATAATAATAATAAGTTGATTTCAAAACAGATACCCGAGCATGAGCACAAGAAGGCTGGGTTGTAAGATGCGGGCTACATCCATCACACCATTAACAAATATTTTGCATGAAGTGCTACTATTAAATATATAATATATAATATAATTTTATTTTTTTTCCTAAAAACCAACGTCTCTGTAGTCGTCTCTCAACAAAACGACCACACATGTGCGTTAATAGATGACCGTCTCTTCCAGAGACAATCATATCTTAATTTAAAAGAAAAAAAACTAGTGACGCTTTCAAATGTTGAAAATGGCATGATCGCCTCTTCGAGATACAACAAAGCGGTGGAACAATTTCAAAAGTATTATTTTTGGAATAAGTTTCGACCGATACATTATACATTTAATATGTTTCAAACTACATTATTTCATATATATAAGTTTGAAAATAAGCATTATTAAAGAAAAAAAATCCATCATTATCCCCACTTAGAAAGTTAGTAGCAAATTGATCTTTCCTATTTGAATAATGAAAAAACAAAAAAATAATTTAATTTGAGGAAAAATTACTTTGGAATAATATTAAAATATGGAATAAACTATTTGGTTACCCACCTAATCATGATGACCCATTGCGTGAGAATATCACACATATCTTTAAAAGTATTAGATAATTAAATTGTTTTTTAATTTTTAATATAAAATATATTTGTTGTTAAATGTGCTTCAATTTCAGTGTAAATCTAATATCGCTATTTTAAAAAATTTTATTATTGTCCCCATACTCTCATTAAAATTGACCAAATATTATTATCGATAAATAATCAAAAGATCAATGAATTTAGTCCAAGCGGTAATTGACATCTATTTTTGGCCTATAAATCATTTCAGTTTAAATTCTCATCCCCATCTCAAATCCGAGAATTCGTAACGACTACAACCTTCTGGTATGCTATTCTATTTGACACCGACTTACTAAACTCTTTTGCGTAGGTCTCTCATTGTGCAACTTACTCTCTACAGTTCATTCGAGTTCATCGGAAGCCAATCTTCGTAATTCGGTAGAATTTAGTATCAATAAATATTGTTGGTAACACATATTTAAAATAACATTAGCCTAAACCATTTCTTTAATAAGCCAAAATAATACGTGGATTAAATCCAATCTCAGAAAATGTTTTTTAACTAACATAACTTGCTACACATTCACGTTCTTAGAACAAAAAAATAATCTTATATTATGAAATTCATTTTACATGTATAGAACAAATATTTATTTTAGTCTGAGTGTTTATTTTTTAATTTGGTCCTACAATTTTAAAAATTTCAATTTATCTTTGAACTTTTTTCAATTAGTCCCAATGAGTAATAATAAGTAAAGTAATTTACTAGGTGTGTTAAGTTATATGAAACAAGCTTGTCTATTTCATCCTATTAAGTATTTTTCAGCCCAATTAATAAAGGGTACTTAATTCTGCCATTAATTATACATCTTGTCCATTGATTATTTTTTAATTTTTAATGTTTTGTGACAATCAAAACTTAATTGAGAAAATTGGAGGGATGAAATTAAAACTTTTAAAAGATAAAAAAGACTAAAGTTAAAAGAAAAAAAAACCCCTAAACAATAGGACTTTTGTTACTCCTCACAAAGGATAAATATGCCTTTGGTCTAAAGGAGAATTCAAACCTCCCACCTCCGATAAAGTAAGCAATATTATGATTAGTTGAACTATATGACGATTACGTCTTTTAAACTTTAGTCAAAGATAGAGATGATAATGAATTGAAATTGAAGGCTAAAATATTCCTGTATGGGGTGAAAATTGCGCTGCCACGTGGAGGACAAGAAGAGCTCCAAGTAGATACGTTCCGAGGTGCCACCCTTAGCCACGAATGCCTTAAAAGAGCCTTCCAGAAGCACGATCAATGAATGGGTCCGACTTAAAGTGCAACAAATGACAGACTTTCAGATACGCATAAGTGCCTCTCAGAAGGCTTGTCGGATAACCAACCTATAAATAGAGGACATCACTTCTGCGACAGGTATCAAATTCTATCTCAAACTCCATATTAAGTCCAAACTTATACTGACTTCAGCATCAAAGTATTTGTCTATCTTATGTAGGTCATTCCTTGACGTGGCTTGTCAGCTATTCTACAATCAGGTGAGACCTCACTCATGACCTTCTAATCGGAGATAAATCCAAAATAAATGACAAACAATAAAGTAAATTAGAGTGGGATGCAATCCGAATTTTTCAAATTTACTAAATCAAATGGATCAGTTAATATCTATTTAATATATTCAATTTTTAAAACTGATTTTACATTTTTGTGATTTAAATAGAAATTCTAAAAACAAGATTATATGTTTTAATGTTTCAAATGCATAATTATATTAAAAAAGATAAATAAATAAATAAATAAATAAATATATATATATATATATATATTATAAATTCATTTCATTTGGTTAAAATTAAAACATGTAAAACGTAATAGGTAATATTGTATTATACAATAATAATTATATAAATTTTTAATAAATATGTTAATAAATAAATTAATAATATTTTAAATTGAATTAAATATTAAAACTATTAAACAAATATATCACTAAACACCTATTGAATCATTTTTAAAATAGAGATCCAATTCTCAAATATACTACGAACATATATTAAAAAATATGGAATACAAATCAATTCTTTGTTTTTAGATTTCTATTTTCAAATTACGTACCAAACGCAATTACATGTTTCAATGGTAGTTTCTTCACAGTTCAAACATAATTTTTACAAGAGAGTGGCAAAACAATTTTAAAACAAGAAATTCAGATAATTCTGAAAATTCATAGTTTTCCTTTTTTTTCCTAACAAATTAAATAACATCCCAAATTTATTTATATTATATTACTTTCTTCCAGTACTTCTGGTAATTCTCCATCTCTCATAAAAACACTTCTCCAAAAATCCATGATATCAAGTGTCTCTGAAGAACCACAGCTGTTAAATTCTTCTCCACTCAAAGGAATTTCAACCTCATCGTTTATCACCATCCCACAATTATAATCCTTCTCTAGATTCGAATCGATATCGAAAAATTCTTCTTCCGACAATAAATTCTTTAAAAAATCTTCTGCAAAAGCAAGTTCTACGAGCTTGGTATCATTGTCACTGACATTATTATCGGTGTTGTTCATAGTACGATGATCGATTTTTTCTCCGCTGTCTGATTTGATTACCGAGTAAGGTGGTCGATCGCGAAGACAACTTTTCTTCTTTAGTTGGCTGTGATCTTTTAGGGTTTGGTTTTGGTTCAATGATCTCTTCTTCAAATGAGTGTGCCACACGTTTTTAATCTCGTTGTCTGTTCTTCCTGGTAATTTTGCTGCAATGGCTGCCCATCTGAATAATATAAAGGTATGAAATAAATTTGATTGAAAATAAAAAAGAAAATGAAATGATATATCTGATCATTAACTTCGTATAAGTTGATTAGTAAATACCTAATGTTTGCTTAAACCCATAATGAAAATCTGATGCAGCCAAGTTTTAAATTCCCAAAAAATTTATGAAAGGGGAAAAAAGTGGCTTCTTTATTTTTTTATTTTTGAAAACCAGAGGTATTTACTTTTAGTGATCTTAATTAGGATAAATAACAATTTTATAATCTAATAATTCATATACTTTAAAATTTTCATAAATCTTACCTAAAAAAATTCATAAAACTGATTCATATGCTTTTTAAAGTTTCATTTCATTAGGGTATTTATGATTTTTTTTTTTTTGAGGATTGATTAAAGCTTATCACAAGTCTTTTTCGTCCATGAAAAATAATAGAAATTGAACACGTTGCCAATATGTGGAAAATAAATACTTTATTTTAATGAATAAGGATTCTATAGTGGAGAGTAATTAATTAATAATAAAGTTGTTGGATTTTTGTGGGGATATTTTTCTTTTTAAAAGTGAAAAAATATAACTTGTAAGGTGATGTTTGTTATTTTTTTTATTGACGATAGAGAGTGACATTTAGCCACCTTTTAACCAAAATTAAAGGATAAAAAATATAATGAAACTTTGAAAAACATAAAATATTACATTAACCTATTAATTATTAGGCTGAATATATGTTTTTATTATAATTTCCTAAATTTTTGTTTATTTTACTTTTACTTCCTAATATTTAAAAAGTTTTGTAATTAGGTCCTCACATTTTGTTTTTACTTTTTAAAATTATATTCTACTCACATATGTCAAATATACCGTTGATAATAAGTTTACATGACATGATATTTTGTGCGTTGATATAAATTTAGATAATTAAATTATATCATTTACAATTTCAATCGCCTTCATATTTTCGGGAAACCGTTTGAAATTTTTTACCTTTCTTCTCGTAGGCAGGTTAACTTTTCCTTTAAATTTCTATCAGCTAACCTATCATTTTGCCACCATTTAACATCTATAAATTAATAAGGTGTCATTGAAAAATTTTAATAAAATATAATGGACTCAATTGAAACTCTTGAAACGATAGTAACGTTAAATTGAAAAAAAATCACAATAAAGTTGAGAGAGAGAGGCACCTGTTTCCAAGCATTTGATGCAAGTTGATGATAGTTTGTTCTTCTTCAATGGTGAAATCTCCTCTTTTAATGTCTGGTCTCAGATAATTGGTCCATCTAAGTCTGCAACTTTTTCCACACCTTAACAGTCCTAAAAATAAAAACAGATCAAACAAAAAGAAGAAAGAAAAATTATAGTAATTTCTTAGATTTTCTTTGAGTTCAACGAAGTGTATGATTTCGGTTTACAATTATAGCTTCTATACCGTTCAAAAAAAGAAAAGACCGAGTCAAATAAATGAAAAGTCAGCTATTTGAGTGAAGATTTATCCAGTATACTTCTATGTCAAATAAAAAAATATTCAGATCTTAGCTATTTCTAATTTATATGAATATCGAATCTAATTTAAGATAAATATTGAATATTTGAATTGTGTAACTAAGGTAGAAAAGATTGAGAAAAATTAGTCACTCACAACCACTTATAAATGATTCCCCCCAAGGAGAAGGGAGATTCAGATTCAAACCTTCAAATATAGGCCATTTTTATTCTTTTTTATAATAGAACAAACAAAACACAACAATTAAGAAGTAGTAGAAAAATAAAGCCCCGAAGAGATCTCATCTTTTCCACCCAAATCGCCAATAGGGAGGGAAAAATCTTCAATCCACACACCCAAATCGCAAGCATCGACCACATACCTTAGTTACCAGAGTTATGTTCAAATTGACGAGAAAAATAAACGATTACCCAATAAGTACATACCAGCTTTCTTTGGAAGTGCCCTCCAATTGGAATGGCCATTGAGTTGGATGAAGTTGATGAGAATTTGGTCTTCTTGAGGGCTCCATGGCCCTCTTTTTAGTCCCACTTTCTCACAACATGGTGCTCTCCCCATTTTACCCTCTTCTAAACCTCTCTCTATCCTATTTATAGGATGTCTTTTGGTGTCAAACATGATGTTGTCATGTGTGTATGTTAAAAGTAGAGAACAAGTAAAATGCGCTCAACAATGGTATTTTCAATTCTAACTAAGATTTTGTTTCATAACCATTTTGTTTTTCAGTGTTTTATGTTTTTAAAAATTAGGTTTGCTTTCTCACAAATTCTTGGTATATTTAGTCAAATGTCAAAAAATAAAAATAGGTTTTGAAAAATTTCGTCTCAATTTTGAAAATAATTCTAAAAAGTAGATGACAAAAAAAAAACATGAGTCGGAGGTAGTATTTCTAAACTTAATTTTTTTTAGTGGTTATTAAATAGACTTAAATGATGATAAAGAAAATTTGGGCTAATTTAGCATGATGAACCGAGACAAACTAACATATGCAATATATACCCTTTTCGGGAAGCTCATATCAAATTATTTTTGTATAATGTTATACGTCTATTTGTCTCATTGTTGACTATCTTTTCGTCATGTCAAATTTAATCAATATTGTCTAATAAACATGTCACATCAATTTTTTTTAATTCAAGTGGGAGTGTAGATTTGAGCCTCTAATATTTTAGTTGAATATATATATATATATATATATATATATATATATATATATATATATAAATATAAACTAGTTGAACTATGTTTAGATTGACACGTCACTTAATAACCAATAATAATGTAGAAAACATAAGCTTATATACAATTCAAAGTTCATATTCATAATTATTTTTAAAAAAACTTGAAAAATTAAATACACACGAATTTTAAATTTCATTATTAACTAATTTTATAATTTAAGCAAAACCAAGGCATATTAATATCCTTTCAAAAAAAAAAGCATATTAATCCATTATTTCTATGAGTTACTAAAATCAACCTCTAAAATCACTCACTAATTATATAAATAAATTATTATTGAAAAGAATAAAAAGAATAACACTAATGTCATCGAGTCAATCCATAATTAACAGAGATTATTTTTTAGAAAAAATCCTAAATTTGCAACTACTTAGAAAACATAATATCTATGATACAGAATAAGGATTTTTTTAATGTGCTATTCAATTTAATTTCTCATAAACAAATGGTGTGCTATTTCTTTAGCAAAGTTAGACTTTATAGTAATGTCAAAATTATATCTTCTATAATGTTTTTTTTTTAATTTAAATAACCATTTCAAGAAAATGAATATACAATGATCCATACGTGCTGTCCATAAACTCTACTCTAGTACATGCACATTGCAAAAATATTTTATAAACATGAATTCAATTAGAGATATATTTGAAAAAATAAAAAGAATTAAAAATGAAGATGTTGAGTGCCGACATGACTTAACTCAATTAGTCCAAAGTTTATATTTCTGCATATTTTTTCTCTTTGAAATACAACAACATGTAGAAGCGGGAATTCGAACTCATGATTTTTTTGATCGAAAGCAAGTATTTTAACCCGTTGAACTAACTTTTATCGTTTGAACTTTACAAAATAAACCTATATTGAACTAAAAAAAAAGATAAAATTTTGAAATATTAATTATTCCACATAGTATTACATTATTATTAAAGGAAAATGATTTGAATTTACAATCCATAGTAAAGGAAACAACAATACTATGGCTTACCATTTGAGCTATCATATCTAAGTTGACTGGATAATTAATTCAGGCTTAATATATATTTACCCTTAATGTGGGTGTTTTTCTTTTTAAGTTTAGTCCCAATTATTTAAAAATTAGAATTTCAATTTAGTCCTTTATGTTTTAACATTTTTTAATTTAGTACATCACGATAAAGATTAAACTTTGTTGATGATAAACTTAATGACCTAATATTTAGTGAATTGATGAAAATTTAAAAGAGGAAAAAAGGTCATCAATAGAATAGAACTTGTAATTTTCAACAAATTTATTTGAAATTGAAGGAAGAACTATAAATTTTCCACCTAACTTTATCTTCCCTTTAAATTTTCGTCAATTCACTTAAAGTATTATTCTATATAAGTTCATCATTTGTTGATTTTAATATTTATCAATAATGATAGATTAAATTGAAAAATATTAAAATATAAGAGAGTAAATTGAAGTTCTTTAAACAATAGTGACTAAATTGAAAAAATAGCGAGAGTAAAATACATACTTTAACCATTAACTTTAACTATTGACATGATATTAATAATAAAAACTTTTAACTTATTTAAAAAGTGAAATACTTATTTTCTAAATACTTATTTTCTTACTTTAAATATATGGTATAATTTTTTTTAATTTTTATGATATTTTTAGAAATATCTATCGACATCGACTTTTTATCAATATTTTCATAAAATTAACACTTCGACATTTTCATCCACATGATGGAAGTATATTTATATGTAAAACAATGTAAAAAGAACTTTATAAAGTAGTACAATAATTTATATGACTGCTAAAGGTGAAGGTATAAAATAATTAATCAAGCTTAGCTATATTCATGTACTTCCTGAATTTTCCAAAGGTAGGTGGAAGTCCAATAAGAACTTTAATTTGAACAATGATGAATATGGAAATGGTGAATTTTGAATTTTATATATATATATATATATATATATATTAGTTTTTAATTACAACAAATTGAACATTTATCATAGAATCAGTTGAGTTATGTTCATGTTGGCATGAATTTTGAATGGTTCATATTATCTACACCGGATCTTTTTCATTGAAGGAGGTTTATTAAAAACCGTTTTTTTTAAAATCAGTGATTAGTTAAAAAATACAGGTGTTCCATCAAACCATCAAATTTGGAAAAAATTAATTAATATGTGCCTTTTCCATTAAGCTATAATTTTTATTTATCATCTTAATAGGGAATGAGCTTGGAATGATTTTTTTTTATAAATAATAAATATATTTATATGGTGTTGGGAAAATTAAAACTCAACTTAAAAGCTATAAATCGAGTTCACATCTCATTTCAAGAGAATTAATACCAAAGAAGCGGAAGCGTACCTTGATCCATAATTGAACCTGTGGTGGGTTCGATCACAAATTAGCCTTATCGATTAAACCGGTACAAAGAAGAAGGTGTTTTCACTTTTCTCTCTCTGAAGGGTTAGGAGAAGAATAGACATGATCTTTCTAACTTGGGGACCATAACCCTTTGTAACCAACCGATCACAATGTTTAAATATTTCCAATTTGGCCCCTCAATTTGGAAACTATTTTGTGGTATCCATACATTTTACCCATAGACAATTTATAATTACCCCATTGTACCGAAACATATACATAATTGGATCGGTTTAATTTAAATAGCAAAAACACATTAAATAATTACATGTGTGGCCCCATGTTATTGAAAAATTCCAACCTACGATTCCACCGAGATCACATGCTTCAAATCAACATAATCAGGGGAAAACTACCATTTCAAGCTACGCTATAATAAAGTTTGGGCTAAGGCAACTATACGAGAGTCATAAAGGTCCTTAAACATGTTGTCATCAAATATATGTCACTCCGACTCAAACACTGTTGGATTAGTGGAGCCAAAACAACGTCGAAACGAGATAGGAATGAGTCGGGATCAAGCCGAGACGCGTCGAGACGAAGCGGGAATGGAAAACAGATGGAGCAGCTACTGCAGGCCATTTGGCCAAATGGACAGCATCTCGATGCTACGAAAGTTAAAACGAAAAAACGACGTGCATGTTCGTGTATTTGTATCTTGATTCTTTGTGAGTGTTTTCATTCTTGTATCTAAGTAATTGTATTATATTATTTAGAAGTTAGGGGACTTTTACTGAGACCTATAAAAGATATTTTGGGCAGAATTGTTGTAACCAATCCTTAACATTATTAGTGAACTACCCACATTTGAGTGGAAGACTGAACGTAGCCCTTGATGGTAAATCAAATATAATTTGTTGTGTCGTTTATCCTTGTGTTTATAGTTTTTCTTCCTTATTTACGTATTATGGCGTGTGTTTGATATTTCTGTAGACAGAAGAAATTATTCAGGACCACTAATTTTCCAACAAACACATGCGATGATAAACATCACTTTGACTTTGACTTGCTTAACAATTTAACTGTGTCATTTTCAAAAGAAAAAGAAATCTATTTAACTGTGTGTATCTACTTAGTGAGAATGTCTGAGAAATCAAGACTTTGAAGGCTTGTCGGCAAATAGCAATTCCTCCTCGATCTCTATAACAAAATAAAAAACACTTTATTTATATATCATACTTGAAATTAAGTCCTTTCAACCCATAATTTATGTTTTAACATTTCAAATGTGATACTCATTTATAAATTAAGAAACTTTGAAATTGTAACGTCAAAAGTTATACAAAAAATATTAAACTTATTAAAAGTTTGGTAGAAGTGGGGGAATGGTGAGTGACGTTTACAATGATCCAAATTACTTTTCTCCATTCTTACAATAAAAATATTGTCCCATACAATACAATTTAGTCAAAATTCTAAAGTAAAGCATTTTTTTATCGGTTTGAATACTATTTTGGTCACTATACGTTTCACATTGATTCATGTACTTTTAAAATATTTATGTATATGTTAAAGCGAGCATAGTTCAGTCGGTAATTGACATATATCTCCACCCATGAGATTGTGAGTTCAATCCCTCACCCCACATGTTGATACGATTTAAACTTTTCTTTTTAATTCAGCGAATTTAAATTAAATTACCATTATTTGAAAAATATGTTAGCGCATTAAAGTTGATTTTGATGTGATATTTTGGTTGATACTCAATGAAAATTAAACGTGGGCATCTCTCTTTCTTCCTTATTTATTTATTTGGTTTGACAAAGAAAGACAAATCAAGGTAAATCACGTAATTAATAGGGACCATTTGATTAGTCTATCTAAAAAGTGAATGCTACAAAAGGAGATAAAAGGAGTCAAAAGTTAAAAGGAAAGATTAAATAAATTTTGAGATAATTGGTTTCAA